GAATATTTTTGGCCGAGCTTTCGGGCTCAGAGAACCCACGGTAAACCCGGCCTTGTGACACATACATCCCTCCGATGTTAAATATTAACAGTCGAATAGATTGAACGCTGAGTCAACCGACACACCCTTACTAGTCGTGTAATACTCTTCTGTTGTACTTACTGTTTAATATATGATATATCTGTAACACTTGTTTTGTTATTTCTTTAACAATTTACTTGATCGCAACAAATATATAACCGTGTCAAGTCCCATATATAGCCATTCAAAAGATTATGGAGTTTTCAATGGCGGCACAGTGCTGGGGACTCTGGACGGAGATCGAATAAAAAAAAAAGGAAATAAAATCGATTTTTATTAGGTTGACAATTGAAACCATTCGATTCCAAAAGCTGTCACACTACACACGTTTGTACCACTTGTTATCAAACTACTAGGTGACGAAAATCAAAGATATATAAACAGCAATTTATTGCTAACATTCCCAGCAAATAAATGTCTGCCATGTTATATTTAGAATAAATCTATTGCGTTCACTCTGTTGGTTAGAGTGGGAGTGCCTCTGCTTTTGGTTCAGTGGACTGGATTATTATTCAAGTGAAAGACACTCACTTCCGCTTTAATAATCTCGCCGTAAAATATTTTCTAATCCATCTTCTTCATTGAAGCTAACTAAAAATTGCGTGGATTATTTTTTTTTTTCATTTTAAATGTAGGACAAATTAAAATTGTTCAATGGAGTGCTGGAAAACAATTCAAAATGCTCAAAATATATCTATCACTGTTACTCAACCTCAAAGGTTACGAAAACAAAACAATTCTGAGCTAGACGTGATATGAACAGGCGAAAACAACTGCTGCGTGAGGAGATAGCACTTGGGACGTTTGCTTAGGATGAAGGCTTTTAACATGTTCGATAGAAATAAATTCAACTCTTTCAAAAGAAAAGTGGGGAATTTCAATATACGGAGATATTATACATGCTTTTATAAACAGAATAACAATGTTCAAGAAGACTGAAAATACACGTGTAGCGGGTGTAACAGCAAAATTGTCCGAGTCGTGTAACGACATAATTATCCATCCCACAAAATGTTTGATATCTAAAAAAAACATTAAACCCTTTGAGTTATTCAGCTAGAAAGAGAACAGGTTAAAAGTGTTTTGTGTCAGACCCAGTGTCTTTTTGACTGGGCAATGGTGAGAGGAAAAGATAATTAGGCCTTCAGTAATGGTACGAACATTCATACACTGGCTTCCATCTTCAAAGTCTATTCAAGAACCATCAAGAGAATGGTGAATACGTTTAAAAAAATAGGGAACAGAAGAGAGGGAAATTGGATCAGGAGGACACAACAGGAAGAGGGATCATCATTTCAATTTAGAGTTAAAGATATCAATTAGAAAAGATCCAACTCAATTCATAAGACGTTTGTCATGTAAGAAAAGAGTTTCAGCGGTGGCAGTCCAAAGTACAGTGAAGAAAAAGACTTGAAAATGAGATTGTACGTGAAACCTGTGAGGAATCTTGTTCCTCCAGGAAAGCTAGAAGGTTAGAAAGGGAGATCATCATCTTGAATAAGTTAGAAAATGATCCTATAATTATATATATATATATATATATATATATATATATATATATATATATATATATATATATATATGAACTTTATTTCAATACTTCATGAGCTTCCGATCCTTAGCTGTGATTAATTAATGGTGATCATGTCGTTTTCGTTTATGAGCGATTTCAACACAATTCTTCTGTTATGCTTAGGCAGTAATTATACATCTTTATTGCTCAAAGTAGAGTCCAATAGTGTTATAAAAACCTCGGAATATTCCAGTAAGATAACTTTAATCATTTCTAAGATACAATGGTTCAAAGCTTAATCTAACAATTGGACAATTTTGCTGTTACACGATTTGGACAATTTTGCTGTTACAATCTGTATGTACAGATTGATTGGTTAATTTGTTTTTGTTTTGTTTTTTTGTTTGTTTGATTTTTGTTTTTTTACAGCTTATCAACCTTTTGCAGCTGAAGCCAGAAAATATTTTTAGATTGTAAGAATTTTCTTTTAATGAATAATGATTTACTGATACAAGTCCTATTAACCCGTAAGTTGGGGGGAGATAATCTGTTGTGCGTATAGAGATTAAAAAAAACATGAAAAACGTTTATATATATATATATATCAGTAGATATAAGCATTATATATTATATATATATATATATATATATATATATATATATATATATATATATATATATATATATATATATATATATATATATATATATATATATATATATATATCAGTAGATATAAGCATTGGTTGAAGTAAGAGACTTCACCCGAAGAGTTGTGAGTTCAATACCTGGCCACAGCAGAGGTGAACAAAAATTTAGAGAGTTGAGTTACCAATGGGAATTAACTGAAACTAAGATGTCCGGACAGGTATGGTTCGTGGAACTAAAACAATCTACCCCTGTGGATTAAATAAAGGGTTCGGTTCGAAATTCCAACGTATATCTCCTGAAGAAGGCCGGAGTGTACAGCGGCCGAAACATCGTGAATATGACAATAAAGATAAGGACAATAGTCCGAATAATGTAAATAGTTACAATACCTCATCTCAGACATACATATATATATATATATATGTGTGTGTGTGTGTGTCTGTCTGTCTCTGTGTGTGTTATGCACCACGTGGCTGACTGAAATTAAGAAAAATTTAAGAAAAAGAATTAGGGAAGACTTTCGCTAATACATTCTAGAGCAAAAGTTGAAGAAGTTAATACATTCTTTTTAGTAAAGCGTCACATAGGGACGTAATGAGTGACAAGATAAATGTAATGCCCACAATGTCTTATATTGTTACGCCCGTCGCCATAAAATAGTGAATGTTTTTAAGAAATACATATTTACATATACAATATTTACAAATGTATATTTTATAAAGCAAAATTAACGATTTCATTTTTTATTCTTTTCCTCCTATAAATAACGTATAACAATAAAATATATTAAATTAAATGTCGGACTTTGTTCATTTCGTAGTGTGTGACGTCATTTGTTTACATTAAGATACGCTTCAAGAAGATATGGACGTTCGAGAGAAATTATGGAAAGTTTTTAGTTTAAAAGCAGTAAAATCGGAAAGTATTAACAAAATTTACCGGCCTGAACAACCGAGAAATTTCAGAGAAAACATGCGTCCTCCGACAGGAATCGAACTTGTCATATAGCCTGACGTGCGATACCAGTTTAACTATAAGACGGTTCCCTGTAGGATACTGGTTCGATTCCTGTCGGAGGACGCATATAAGTTCAGGTCAGTAAATGTTGCTTATACTGTTTATTATAAACAGAGCATTTACTTAAATGTTTGTATCTATAAAAAAGAAAGTATAACAATAAAATACATTAAAATAATTGTCGGACTTAGTCCATCTCATAATATATATATATATATATAGATATAGATATATATATATATATATACTTTTCACATATATATATATATATATATATATATATATATATATATATATATATATATATATATGTATATGTATATTATAGTGATAATGTAAATAAGAAATATATGTAATAATATAGTGATAATGAGAATAAATGAAAAATCAATAAATCAGTGAATGAAAAAATAAATCAATAAATGAAAAATTGGAAGCTCCAGGCCGTGAAGTCATATTTCCATTAGCCGATCAGAAACAAGATTTGTTTTCTAATGGATATGACGTCATTGCCTCCCGAACCAATCAGAACCCAGGCGGTAATTAAACGTATCTTTATTCGACAGCATACCTATATAATGAGGCAGATAATGAGACTTTGTCATAATAGATGGATTCTTTTTATCAATTCTCCGATGCCGGTTGTTATCGTGAAACACAAAGGGACGATTCGCTCACGCACATTCGCAACATCCACACACCCACATATATTTACATACGTTATTTAACTAAACTCACCTGCAACAATTTACACGGATGACTACTACGCCATTACACATCATTGTTTATACATATACACTCGGTCTCTTTTTACATGTTAAAGATTTTCGCCTTTGAACACCTGAGAATCTTAAATTAACACCTATTCTACCTTCTACGAATATATTAAGCTACATAATGTTTCTGGTAGTATTCGGGCCATATCACGTTGGAACACTGGTTCTTGTCCGATCACCAAGGTTATACAACGATGTACCTAGTGTTGTTTTTGTTTAGCGGCATATCAATTTCTATGGGTTACTTCATTCCATAATCTAAATAATTCGTATGCAATCTTATTTAATAATAATAGTTTAATTGATACAAGTTTTATATGTATACCCACTAACGTATATATTAAGTAAATAAAAAATATATCTAATATTATAGGGATATTATAGATGCAATATATTTTAATATATTTTATTATTATACGTTATTTATATAGATAAATATTTGAGTAAATGCTCTGTTTATAATAAACAGTATTAACAACATTTACCGGCAGAATGTCCGAGAAATTTCATAAAAAATATGCGTCCTCCGACAGGAATCAAACATGTATCCTACAAAGAACTGTCATATAGCTAATGTCCATAGCTAGAAAAGAGGTGGATTCATATCTTTCCCAAGGATATTTGCGCGTGAGTGAATATAACGAAGACGTCTGGAATTGAAACTGTTAACCATGTTTGCCGTAGTCTCTGAATATAGAATCCAGTGAAGTCCGTAATGTGTTCAATATCAGAGGTTGGTAGTGAAGATATTTTGGGAGAAAAACAAAATGGCTGCCTTTATACACGTTGGATTGAATATTTTGAGCTTTCTGATTGGTTAACACTTCTATTGGTAAACTATAAAATGAGTCAGCTCATTTTGACTGGCTCACTAGTACAGGCTACCCAAAAATTCTAACAGAAACTCGCCTCTCCGACTAACAATTCCAAGTCATTCGCCATTAAACCACTCGCTACCCAAGCTTACAGCATCTAGTATTCCTGAGTGGTCATCCATCTAGGTACTGACCAGGCTCGACGTTGCTTAACTTCGATGATCGTAAGGGAACCAATGTTTCAACGTGATGTGACAGTGAGCCACGACGTACGTGGTCAGAATCTAGATGGGTGATCGCATAGAATAACAGGAGCTGTAAGCTTAGATGTGTGGATGGTGAGAGATAACGGCTCGGAATCAGAAATCGGAGTTCGAATTCCAGTTCCGTTAAATTCATTTACTCGCATACGTGAATTAAATCCTTTTTTTTTTCAACTAATACAATCACATCATATTGTTTTGTCTGATATACAATAATTATTAGGGCAAATACCGCCAAAATACTTACGGACGTAGTCGTTAACCTACCACATTTTGTATTTGGACCATTTAGAAAATAACAATAATAACTCTCTTCATTACTCCCGAAAATTCGAGAAAAGGATTTTCGCGAGCCAGTGTGACATTATTTTCCAACTAATGAAAACCTTGTATTCAAAAAGTTCATACCTCGATGTGAAATTATATTTTGAATCCCCTTAGGGATATAAAAATAGAAGCCTACTGTTTCTCGTGGTTCAAAACACTTTCGGAGGTCAGTTTGATCTACACGTCCATACACACACACACGCACACAATAGAAGCGAAAACAGCCAGCAACCGCCGACTAAGGCCTTGTCCGCGTACGCAATATAAGGGATTAACCAGCAGCCGAAGACTAAACCTTTGTCTACGGACTCATGAATGCATTTGCCTGACCGTCATAAAGTAACTCTATCCACACATTTCACACCGGAATATGAATACTTAATTACTTTATAAAACGAACTTCATTGCAAAGAAGTTTTTTATTGTCATTGTATATAAATATTATTTCAACGCTACTACTTTTCCTCCAGATAATATCCTTTTATATGTTTCATTTAAAAGATGTGCTGTTGTTGTTGTTAAATGTTTGAACTTCCTGACACTCAGATAGCAACAAAACCCTGGATAGATGGATCCCATCAAAGGTCATCCCCCAGTTATGTGTTAAATGTCAAGACAGACTAGGTCCTATAGCCTTGCTGGTCCCACTGCGGAAATTCTTCTGCGAAGTCAATTATGAATTGAAAAGAGACATAATGGCCCAAATGTGCATCACGCATGACGCTTAAGGAAGGAAGGAATAATGATAAAAATTAGCCGTTTCCTTATAAGGAAACATTCAGTATTCATTGACCAAACCTGTTAGAATTACTGCCATTTGAAATGCATAACATCTTTTTCTAAGAACAGTTTTTCATGAAAACAGTTTTCCCACTTCCACTGTTATTACTTTTTCTATTATTCATGGAGGTTTCCGACCTAACCTTTTGTTCGAAGTAGTGTGGAAAGTCGACATTTCGATTATGTTATTTTCTCTTTGTCTTACATGTTATATCCATTTTAGTTGTTGCTGCTGTTAGAAGTCTTCAAGTGACATGTTTTTTGTTATTTGGTAAAATTCTAGGAGATCTGATGGAGAATTGTCTTCTTTAAGATAACGAGTAGTGATTTTTAACAGGTGTGCCGCAGCACACTTGGTGTGCCGTCAGAGGATCGTAGGTGAGCCGCGAAAATCGCTAAAGGTCATTAAGTAAATTATTTTCGATAGAAATCCAACGCATAATAAATGGACATATCAAAGTTAAAACATCTTTTAAACTGATTATACGAATGTTATAATAAATAACCGTATGCATAATACCGTATATGTTGGCGTACAAGGCGACCTTTTAACCTTAAAAAATCCTCCCCCAAAATAGGTGGCCGTTTTATACTCCAGGTATAAAATGTGAACCTTAAATCCTGTGGTTTACGGTAAGCTGTTAACAAGCCGTTTAAAGATCGCACTCGAGAACAGTGTAACGATTGGACGGCTAGAGGGAAAAAATCAATTAGAATGTTGTAATAGCCTGTCGAAAAGACAGCAGCCACTCATGTGATATTGTAGAGTGTTGTAGTTAATTGATAATAATCCCCACCGTTTTTTTCATTAGAATTTGATTGAATAGAAAGTATATATTACTGAATTTATTTAATAAATTCCATACGTTTTAAAATACGATTTGGGTGGGGGTCATCTTGCACGGCGTATATAGCCGTAAACCTACATTTTAATCTAAAAATTGGGTGGTCGTCTTATAGACCCAGTTGCCTTGTACGCCAGCATATAGGCTATATAAGGTTGGTAGAGTATGCGAAATGAGGTCGCGCGACACATCCATAGATTGCGAGATTTTGACAACGACGAAACCTTATATGTTGAAATCATCGAAAGTTGATTTCGAGAATGACACAATCCTTCATTGTGCACGTATTGAATTGTGCCCGAATGAGTGAGGACGTGTAACTCATACTGAGAGTTTTGGGGGGTTTTTTTAATTATATAACGATCAAATGAAATGGACAAATTTTTAATCAAGAAACACAATTTCGAGGATGTCACTAATGCGTCGAATACATCAGCAACTAAATTACATACAATTATTGCTCAATATAATGAAGATTATTTATTCTTCGGTTTCATATTTAGTAATGGAAATCCGCCACGTCTCACACGCGAAATTTGTGGTGAAACATTAACAAATGAGGATATGCTTCAATCCGGACATCGCGACCTGGGTAAGACGATAAACTAAATATGCGTCCTGGACAAGAAGACAAACTACACCCAACTGAGGACCATAGAACCATCTGTTAATTGATGATGTTCCCAGGTTCACCCTAGCCCGGGGTGGTAGCACCTGTTAGGGTCCCAGCTATGGTCAAATAGTTAACCCCTAAACTGGGGTTAAAGCACTATGAAAATGTAAAAGTAGGTTTTAATATTTAACAATAAAATTTTGAGGAAAGATTATTACCAGTAATACATTATTACCAGCAATAAATTTTTGAAAGAAAAAATGATTACCAGCAATACATTTTTGAAGGAAAAATATTACCAGCAATAAGATCCTGTCGGCATTAAATAACCAATTGAGTAAAACAAATTAAACACTCCAGCCATCCCCACCGAAAAGCCGGTGGAATATTTGCCGCCAATGTTTAATTATTTCCATTACTCCGCCCACCAGGACATCTAAGCTTACAATACCTAGTTATCACAAGCGATCAACCCATTTCGTTACTAACCAAGCAAGACGTTGTTTAACTTCGGAGATCGTACGAGAATCAGTGTTTCAACACGATATTACGTAAATCTTGACGACCTATAAGCGAGTGTATATACCAAACTGCCTAAATTGTTCTTTAATTTATTGAATATAAATTCTGTAGTTGCAAATCTCTTCAAGAATTTGCAAAAGTTCTTTTCGAGCGCTTAAAGATGGCGTCTTGTAATATTACAAACACAAAGCAAATAAGCAGTTATACATTTTTGAACTTTGATGCTTAGTCGAGATTGCGAAAACTACTTACAACGTCAATGTAAGAAAGTTATGCAAAAGATCGCTAAGATCCTCCCAGCGGTCAAAAGAGGCTCCGTCTTTATTGGTTGCTGCAAATTCGACTTATGTATCAGTTATAACAAATTTAGTATATGAAAAAATGAAATTGAACAAAGGTAGCTTCGCCCAACACCTTAACTTGCTACAAAACAAACATCACTCCGATGATTTGGTTTGTTTTATTTTACGGTATATCAACCTTAATGGGTTATTTAATGCCTACAGGATTTTTATTGCTGGTAATATTTTTTCAAATAAAGTATTTCTGGTATTATTTTTTTCAAAAATGTATTGCTGGTCATATTTTTTTCAAGAATGTATAGCTGGTAATAATTATTTCATCAAAAATGTATTGCTGGTAATATTTTTTGCAAAAATATATTGCTTGTATTAAAACCCTAATAGAGGAGAGACGGTGGAGTAATGGCTAGCGGTTCGGATTAAGGAATCGGAGAGCCGAGTTCGAATTTCATTCGAGTTATATTCACTTACGTGCTAAGACCTTTGGAAAAGTTATGAATCCTCCAGCTATGGACAGAGTGGGTTCTATAGCCTTGAATGGCAAATGGTCTACCGCAAGAAGAAATGGCAACATTCTTCCCCCCCCCTTGTTTCGGGAAGAAATCTGCGTCGAAATCTGTATCGAAAGATACATGTTCGCTTAAGCTTTTATCACACGTGGCACATAACTGACTGTATTAAAATCTAGTTTTACACTTTCATAGTGTTTTGACCCCATTTTGGGAGTTAACTATTTGCCCATAGATGGGACCCTAACACCACGGATCATGGTGAACCTGGGAACACCAGCAATTAAGAGGTGGTTCTACACTCTTCAAAACCTCCTGATCAGAGGCCTTGCTGTTGGATGTAGTTTATCGTTTTACCCAGGACGCGGATGCAGTCTATCTTCATACCCAGGACGCACATCAACCTGGAAACTCGAGTCATGGACTTAAATACTCTCATCAGATCGAGACTTTCATCTGGACATCATGTATGGCGCTAAACCTGCTTTCTAGGATCAATGGTTAAAAATGGCTTTGTGTGAGTGAAGCCTTGACAAAGACAATTCTTCTTTGGACTGGCGCTACGGAATCACAAATAACTGTACCAAATAACAAAAAATAACATTCTTTAAGGAATCCCAAAAGCAGCAACAACTAAAATGGATAACACATGTAACTCCAAGTGAGAATACTGACATAATCAAGATGTTGACATTTCACACTACTTCAAACAAAAGATTAGGAATGAAACCACAATCAATATTGGAAGGAATGACTACTGGACTTGAGAAACTTATTTTCCTGAAGAAATTTTTAAGAGAATGATTTTATAAATTTCAGCCGACAGCAGTACTGGCTGTTCGGTCAATGAATGCCGAATGTCTCTAAGGAAACAGCTAATATTACTGTTACAATTACGATCTGTCTATCTAGCTAGCTAGCTAGCTAGTTAGCTAATTATTTATTAATGCTGTTATCATTGAATATTTTTTACCAGAGCTCATATTGCAATTTTTTTTTTTTTGTTATTATTGCTTTTCTCTGGTACTCCTTCTTACTGGTTCCCATATTGTATTCATTTCTATGCTTGGTCGGCTCAGGGGATCTT